ATGTTTAAGTGGCTTTTGGTTCTGGCTTTTGCTTTGGTCCCATGTAGCTCCCTGTAGCCACTTTGGTTTTCACTGGAAATCATGTGCTTCATCAAAAAGGTAGAGACAGATATGCATACCGGTTTGGTGCTAGGATGCTCAAGGGCCTCATGGTGGTGATAGCGAGCAAGACAAAGACTGAATAGGCCTCACATGCCCGGCCAAAGAGGTTTGGAAATATTGGCTTCCAAATATTATTCCTACCAGTTCACAAAGTCAAGGTCGCCCTGAGCCCGCTTGCGGGGTAGGGCGGGGTAGAAATACCTAAATAAATAAATAAAATAAATAAATAAAGTAGTTTTGCATTTGGATGAATATATTACAAAATAGTTGGTTGCTGGGAGACCTCTCACTCCTACAATGCGACAGTGTTTTCAGTTTCAGGCCCTGACCTCGATAGCCCGAGCAAGCCCAGTCTCATCCGATCTCAGAAGCTAAACAGGGTTGACTGTGTGGTTAGTACTTGGATAGGCCACTTCCTTGGAATACCACATCGGGAGGACAGGGGGAGGCTCCATTCATCCACCTCTGGATATCCTCCAGGCCCCCAGTAGCGGTCAGTCACCAGAGGCCAAAATGACTTCCAGGTGTAGACAGACACACACACATACAAATACAAAAATACCCCCAAAATGGGGGGGGGGGATTTGCAATTTCAGAATTTTAACACACTAAACAAAAGCTGCAAGATTAAATTTCTAACTGGTAGTGTTTGCTTTCTTGTTCTTTTAACTCAGAAACAATTCTCAGAAACAAAACTGTTTCAGGCTTTTGGATATCTCATATTAAAGAGGGCAGTGCTTCAGCAGAAGAGGAAGACTACAGAGAGATTCAAGTCCAGAAACATCTTAAAGACCAACAAGATTTTGGAGGTATAAGCTTTTGACCTCTGACAAAGGGAGCTTTGACTCTCAAACACTTATACCCCATAAGAACATAAGAAGAGCCTCGCTGGATCTGACCAGGGGTCCATCTAGTCCAGCATCCTGTCTCACACAGTGGCCAACCAGTTCCACTGGAGTTCCAACAACAGAGCACAGAGGCCGAGGCTTTCCTGGCACTATTGTTGTTGTTGTTAATGAATCGCCCCACCCCTGCTACTGCAGGGCTCTGGGCGATGTACAACCAGAGATAAAACAAGATAAAATTAATTTAAACATTAATACAATATTAAAAACAGTCAGCGAATAACCAATCCTCATTCCAACTCCCACTGCCAGCTACTTCATGGACAGATACTCAGAGGTTCCCATTAGTCACCGTGGCTAGTAGCCACTGGGAGGCCAATCTGCCATGCATCTGTCTAACCCCTCTTTTAAAGCTGTCTATGCCCGAAAATCTTTAAGATGCTCCTGGACTCGAACCCAGCTCTTCTACTGCAGACCAGCATGGCTGCCCTCCTGAAACTGTCTCCAGAAAGACTTGGGGGTTGAGATGCAGATTTGATACTATCAACCTGGCAATTAACAGGGACTCGGGATGGTTAGCTCATTACTAAAAGTAATTGTTCCTCCTTAACAGATTGAAAGATTGAAGGTCAAAGAAGACGGGGACGGCAAAGGATGAGATGGTTAGACAGTGTCAAAGATGCAACGAACATGAAACTGAGCAAACTTCAGAGGAAGGCGGAAGACAGGAAGGCCTGGCGGGAGCTGGTCCATGGGGTCGCGAAGAGTCCGGACTCGACTGTGCGACTGAACAACAACAACAGTTTATGTGCAACAGTCAGATTCATCAGCAGTTGGGAGCAGTCCACACCCAACCTGAGTGGATCACTGACTCATTGATTGGATCTTGTTTTCATCTGCGCTCTCCAAGGTAACACACCTTGTCCAGAGCAACTCAGCCCCTCTGGCCTCCCTTTGTAATTCTCCCCTCCCTTTCTCTTTTATCTCACAACTCTTCATGCACCTGACATGCCTGGGGGGGTTCTGATTCCTGAAAGCCTATATCACAACAAGTTTGTTAGTTTTTAAGGTGAAACAGGCTCTTTGTCATTTTGATTTCAGCGGACTATCACCCAACAGAAACAAAACCAGACCTTTACTCCTTCCTTTCTTCAGGGACATATGCAGCCCCGTTTTATCTGCACAACACTGCCTCTAGGGTAGGCTCAGGAAGGGTGATTGATTTAAATTCCCTCCGGGAGTGTCAGGACTAACCAGGGATTGAAACCTGCACCTCTCTCATCCTAGTCTGAGGCAGAATGAGGTGGCAGTGAGCAGACAGTGTCTGAGGCTGTAGGAAGGGCTGCAACAGAGGTCCTCTATAATTTAAGTTCCCCGTAAATTAATAATTCTCCACAGGTGGGAAACCAGCACAGCATGCAAAGTGCTGGGCAAGAACCTTTCCCTGTGATGTGCAGAGAGATCCCCCCCCCCCCCATGGGTAGCAATGAAAATGTCACTCTGCCTGCAGTCTTGAGTGGTACTGGCCCCTCTGCCTCCTCATGGTTCTGCCCCCTACTGCAGAGACCAGGCTTGTGAGACTTTAGCCCAGGGGCCCCAAACCCTTCTGAGCCTACGGGCACCTTTGGGATTTTGACATGGGGGGGGGATAGTGGTGGGTGCCACCCCCAAATTGGGTGCTGCAGGAGGCAGAGCCAAATGCAATAACTTTTGTTTTGCGAAAGAAATGCACAGCCACCTCGCTGAAAACATGAAAGAGAAAAAGAAGGGAAGCCAGAAGGTGGAATGGGAGGAACCACACACTGACGGGGAAAATCTTGGATGCTTATCAACCCTCCGATCTTCCATTGGCTCTGGCTGCTGTTCAGCCATAGAAAAGCCTTTCATTGGAAGGAGGGCAGCCAGGAGCAAACCCTTCCTTGCAACAGTCCCGCCTGCTTTTGGGAAAGCTTTAGTGGGTATCATGGGAGGTACTGGCAGGCACCTCGGTGCCCGTGGGCACCACTTTGGGGATTCCTATTGCAGGAATAGGACTTATAGATACAAGACTGATAAATGGAAAAGGTAACACAACCTTATTTTCACAGTTCCCAAATGGGCAAGCACAACTCTCATTTTAATTCATTTCTCCATTATAACTTAAGCTAAGCATTATACTGTGAACTATCATGGCCCCACTAGTGGGTTTTTTCTGTTTCCAAACGCCTCCTGATGCATGTTGGGCTAGTCAGAGGGTGGATCAGGAGGACCAAAAGGGAGGCTCCCATTTCTGGCAAGAGACATTCAGAGGTGGTTTGCTCCATTGCCTGCCTCTGCATAGCAACCCTGGACTTCCTTGGTGGTCTCCCATCCAAACACTCACCAGGGCCAACCCTGCTTAGCTTCCTGGATCTAAGCAGATCAGGCTAGGCCAGGGCTGCCATTTATTAGACTCTGGTTGATTTCTGGCTTTGATAAGTTTCACAACCGGTTTTTAAACACCCCCCCCCCTCAGGCCCAAATGTTACACACTTTCCTAGCTTAAGAAGTGCAGCCTGAAGTAAATCAGAATGTGACTTAGGGCTCTTTTTGTAGCAGGAACTCCTTTGCATATTAGGCCACACATCCCTAATGTAGCCAATCCTCCAAGAGCTTACAGAGCTCTTACAGGAGCTACTGTAAGCTCTTGGAGGATTGGCTACATTAGGGGTGTGTCGCTTAATGTGCAAATGAGTATCTGCTACAAAAAGAGCCCACTTGTCATATCAATCAGGAGCTCCCACCACAGTTGGAAGTGGCTGGACGCTCGACTGCCACAGCCTCCGTTTCCTCATGTGTAAAAGGGGAGGGGGGAAGTATAGCTCGCAGATCCCTCGTGAGGGGAATAAAAGCCACTTCGCAAATGGTAAAAGCAAAGCAAAGCCCTGCCGTGGACGAGGCTAACGACCGTGAGACGGGCCGCGTGGGGTTGCGTGCAGAGGACTAGGAAACGGCCACTTAACTCGTTGCGGGTCGAGGCTCCGCCCCGCCAGCCCCACGCCGGTTCGCGTGCGTGCGTGCGAGCGAGCGAGTGTGCCAAAAGCGAATATGCAATCTGGAGCCTTTCTCACGAACTTCTGCCTCCTCGCACGGCATCCATCTGCTTGAAGTCGTTGGGCCGCTTCGGCTGTCGTTCCCACCCCCTTTTGCTCGGGTTTCTGGCTCACATCTATTTTAAAATAAAGACTTGATTTCAAAGCCTCGCGGCGGGGGGGGGCG